TTTTCATGTTTTTTTTTTTTTTTTTTTTTTTTTGAACAGACTCTGTCTCGTTCATTGTTTAATGCATTTAATTTCTTTTTGGTTTCAAGCAACGATCCCTGAGGTCTGTACTGAACTTATTTCTTCACTTACGTCCTTTGGTTGCCTTGGCTGTTTGAAGATGGGGAATTTAATTTGCTCCGACGGCCTCTCTTTTCAGCCTTCCCTCCCTGTTCCTGCCCTTGGATTCTCCTATCCTCTCTGCTGCTGCAGTGGGGGTCTGGGTGATGTTCCCATTCTAGGCTTTTGACTTGTCTCTTCAGCATTTTCCCCCCTTTTTTGTGTGTGTTTTCCTGGAGGGGTCATAGTGCTAATGAGCGCCAGGGCCTCTCCAGTGACTCTGTCTGTCTGACATGCATGGCCTTGATGGCTAGCTCATTAACACAGACTGTAGGAAGGGGGGGGGAGAGGGGGAGGAGGAAAGTATTTTCCCAGATACAGCCATATACAAATCAAATGCATCCCCTTACTTGACAAGGGGGAAGGGCTGAAATATGCACATCTGCCTCCCTGAGGCTACTGCATGTACTTCATCCCTTGCTTTCCTCTCCCCTCCTTTAGGTACTAGCAGTGAGACACTACCCCTTCCAGCCATTAAGAGTAGACTCTTCAGTGCTTTCACCAGATATTAAGGGAGCAGACTGCTCTCCACTGACCTGGCAGGCATTTTCCTGCGTACTCTCCCCATTAGCAAGGGCTGTCTACACTGGCGAGACGTTAGAACATAAACGAGTGCCTCTCCTCCACTACTCAGACGTTAGCTCATAGTTCCTCCTTATCCCGTCTCTACATCAGGGATACAGATCCTTTCTCCTCCTTATTAAGAGGTTTATCTCCTTTCTGAAGCCTATAAAAGCTTTCCCACTGGCAGAAGTTCAGGTCCTGGCCAGGGATTTCCCCCGAGGGTCACAAGACTGTATTAATCCCAACCATCATCAGGAGGTACCATCACAATACCAGCCAACTCTTTGCAACTTCTTCACTTGGAAAGCTAGCAAACAACAGAACGATTTTTCTCTTTCATAAAGTGCCTCGAGACCTGTGGAACCTCACCTGCGCTTTCCGGGCAGTGGCACTGATGCTGCTGAGAAGCAATGATCAGTGAAATGGCATCTGAGAAGGATTTCTGGAAGGAAGAATTTCAGTGCCTCTCTGCACACAGCATCCATAAAGCTGAGGCCTTGATGAGTCCTCCAAGGATTCAGAGACTCAAGGATTCTGTGGTGACAATCAGACGAGAGCTTGTTTGCCTGGCCGGGTAGCATGGATTCTGCTTTGGCCAACAGCAGCTGCTTCTGTAGAAAATGCAATTAAATCTGACATTGAAAGTTAATAGAAAACCTGTTCTTGGAGGTGTTTCTTCACAGATTTCAGGAGTCACTGGTTGGATTATCCCCCAAGGCTGGAAGTAAATCGCTCCCTGTAAACCTTTTTTTTCAGTCACTTCAATAATTCTCACTCATCTCACCGGCCATATTCATTAATGTCAAGTCTGTTTTCCAAAATTGTACCATAATCTTGTCCTCAAGTGCATCCTACAGCATGGAGTTCTATGGTTTATATGGAAGATTGCTAGTATTCAGAGTATTGCTTTGTATATAAAATATTCTGGTACTGAGGAAGCCAAGTTTAAAATGTGGAAAGGTGTTTGTGGTTACTAATGGGGAAGCTAGACAATACTGCATCATTTGACTGGTTGGGACTGACCAGTCCCAACCAAGCAACAATACACAAGGAGAAAATACAAATACTATGCTGTAGCCTAAAAAAATGCAGCTTAAAGAATGTCACTAAGTAAATCCAAATAATGCATAAATTAGAGGGAATTGCAGCTGGCTGTTAGATATTCCATGTGCTGAAGATAAACATCTAAGTTAGTTGAGTTGCATAAATTATTCATCATAACATATTTGCTCAGCTTTTCTCATCAGCTATGAAAGCCACACATCTAGGCAACAGAGAGGATAACAGAACTGGGCTTTCACCTCCATGGTATGCCCTGAGAGCAGGGAGTGCTGGGGAGGGTCTGCATGTGACAGAACGAGGTAGAAAACCTCCCCTTCAGTATGATGCTGCAGTGTGGATGTGGGTGCTGCTCAGGACTTCTCTGCTGGGGGCTGGAATTGTCCCTTGGTAGCAGGCAGGGTTGCTGATATGGCAGCGATTTCTCCCCCTTCTGCCTCCTGCCACTGCTGTCAAGAGATTACATGGGGTCTGATATTAAAAAAAGAAAAAACAACAAAAGAACTCTTCCCCTGAAAACATTGCTTACCAAATTGTCTTTTTCTTCTCCTGTCTTCTTCCATCTGTACTGCCTACTGCATTCTATTACACAAACTTAACTGTAGCTGTTTGCCCAGTCCATCTCCATCCACTTTCCTTGGGCTTCTTATGGGCTTTCCTTGGGTTTGGGTGTTGATATATCAGTAAGTCCCTACTTGAACAGCTGTATGCTTCAGCTGCATTGTTTTTTTTGCTTTGGAATAGATATTTTGAGAGTGTGAAAAGCAAAATTTCTGTCATTTTTTCTGACTGCATGAAGTATTCTTACTTCCCTTTCTGAAAGCATCCTGGCCATGGAGGGTTTAAGTATCTCCTGACTTTACTGATAGCACTTCCAGGAAGCAGCAATCTGAGAGCAAAAGTACATTTGATTTTACAGGGTCTAAAAATGGTCTCTTTGGAGAGGAAGCACAGATGGCATTTTTCTTACACTTACAGTCTTTATGGTAGGAACATGGGAATTTCTATTTATTATAAAACTTTGCCTATCTTTTAGCATCCAGATCTGCATCTTCCCATGCAGTGTAACTGCTCCATCAGTGAGAATTGCTCTGTCCTGAAGGGACCGTTCCTACTTCGTGCAGAGGGGGTTTCTTTCTAGAGCCAGGTTTGGGATCATGAATGATGAGAGCACCCTCACCCTGCAGTGTCAGACAGAAGCTCTCTTTACTTTTAAGGTTCTACTTATCACTGAAAGCAATTGTGGGACCCCCAGATGTGTCTCTTCCACAGAAACCAAGTACTGGAGTTTTTTATAAAGTAGAAGAATGCGATGCTCCATGCAATAACTTCATGGCTAACGTACTTGTTTCTATAGACAGTTTTTGAGCCAATATTCTGTGTTTTCTGCACTCATGATCTTAGGTACAGGTTTGCTCTGTCCCTGCCCCTTTCCCTTCCTTTTTTTCCCCTCTTTTTTTGGCCTTTTGGCAGATATTTTTCTGGGAAAAACCTGCACTTCTGCAGATTTCAAGTTTTGACATTACTGAGTTCTAGAATGTTATCAGAGGGGTGTTCTGCTTTGGGCTATTTACTTGGCTTGTGAAAGCCTAGGAGCTACAGAGGGGGCATTAGCTCAGATGGAAGGAGACATTTTGAAGTAAAAAGCCACCACTTTGCTATTTTAATGAATGTAACTGCTGTTAGGCAGCCTGGGGTGTTGTGATGGTATGCAATCAAAATAAATACATGCATAATTGCGTTAAGTGAAAGAACCTAATACACATAAAATTGGCTGGGTGTAGAGTCAACCTCTGAGCAGAAAGCTGTGCTGGCTTTGCAGCTCACTGATGGTACCTCCAGATCTGCCTGCATGTCAAGTTCTCCTCCAGTAGAGTGGGACTGCAGGTGCTGGTTGACAAACAATGATAGAAAGTGCCGTGCCAGTGCCAGGTATTGTCATTCCTATTATTTAAATGCATCTTTGTCTTAAATCCCATTTACAGGAATAATTGAATGAAAAGGGATAGAGAAGTCTGTGACTTGATTATCTGGGAGATGGGTTAAGATAGCGCAGGTGCATTGTAGGAGAGTGGTTATAAATAATATTCTTTCCTTTTTAAGAAGGCCTTGCTCAATATTTTTCAAAGGGCATTATCAGGTTTCTCATCTTCCAGGTGCTCAGCTGGTGATGTATTTCAGAGGCCTGGTTTTTAGTTCACAGGTGTGTAAGGTTTTCTCAAGACACTTGCCTTTGTGTTGTTTCAAAGTGGATACTTGCAATGAAGAGATGCTCCTGCAAACATTTAACTTTATTTTTTTTTTTTTTTACCATTTGCTATCAGTTTAAAAGATGGGATTTGAAAATCAATTCCTACTTAAAAAAAAAAAGAAAGAAAAATGAACAAAACTTTCATTTTCATCCAGTCCTCCTGCTTACATTTGAATTGATCCTTTTAGATGGTTTAGTAAATATGCTGTTTTTCGAGCTGTTCTTTTGCTGTACTTCCTGTTACTGAAAGATGTTTGGAGACAATGCATTTCCTTCAGACGAAGACAATGCATTTCCTTCCGTCTGTTTTGCAAGAGCAGTAGCTCTAAATAACAGGATGGCTTGTGAATGCGAGGACAGGAGGATGTAGAAATGGTTGGACCGATCCAGGTCTCAAGTATATCAAACTGACCTGTTCTTTTTTACTCAGAGGCGGTGAGGTGCTGGCACTGCTGCCCAGAGCAGTGGGTGCCCCATCCCACGTCCACGGATGGAGCCCTAGGCAATCTGAGCTGGTGGGGGCCAATTAACTCTCAACAGAGGTTGGAACTGGATGATTTTTAAGCTAAGCCATTCTGTGATTCTATGATTTGGTGACAGAGACCAGAATTTGCTGCTTTAGGGAGAGATGTAATACCCCAAAGTATGTGGGGGTGTAAGGGCCAGCCTGCTTTCTTTGTAGGGAAATGCAGCACTCTGCAGGACTCCTCTGGAGATTCCAAGGCCATCACTTCACCAGCCCAGACCTCAATCCCCCAAGTGCGTTGTTGCCCTGCAGTAATGTCTCATTTGTCTTCTCCTCCCCTCCCTTTCTGTCTAGCCCTGTAGCCCCGTGCGTGTATCCATGCGGGGCTGTCCAGTGGGATCATCATCTCCTTCACCATCCTCCTTCCCTGCCCTCAGGGGTTCTCCTTGCCCCTCCGGACTCAGCACCTCACTCCTCTTGTGTTCCTGTCTTGTCACATAGGGAGTTTGCCCGTTGGAAGGTGAGGAACACAGCCATTGAGCGAAGGGACCTGCTCCACAACCCACTGCCCCTGATGCCTGAGTTCCAGAGGAGCATCCGCCTCCTGGGCCGGAGACCCACCACGCAGCAGTTCATCGATACCATCATCAAAAAGTACGGCACCCACATCCTCATCTCTGCCACCCTGGGAGGTAGGTGGACAGCCCGGGCTCTTCTCTTGCAGCGGTGTCGGTATGGGTAGGAAAGGCTCTGGGCAACACCCATAGGCCATTGGCCATGCCACATGGAGACCCCCAGCCCAAGACTGGCTCATCATTAGGATTAAAAATCCCCCGAAACCTTTGCAAATGAATTCACAGAGCAACGCGTGCACGTTCAGCATCTGTGATACGTGTGCACCTGTGCTCCTCTGACAACAGAGTGCGTGCTGGTGTGCAGCAAGATAAACATGCTTCATTTAGCAGGAGCCTCTCTGCCGCTCCTCTGCCCCTGTCCTTAATTTGGCAATAGAGTGGGCTGATTCCTATTTTTGCAGTATGAAACAAAATGCAGAGGGAAGACATGCTTTCTAGCTGGAACTGGAGGGATTGTAACGAGCCCCAGGAGAAGGAGTTGGGCGGGGAGTGGATGCAGCAGGGGAAGAGGCGGCCAGGAAGGTCTGGGCTGAATGCAGAAGGGAAAGCAGCAACGTGGACCCGACTGCTGGAAAATCACGACTGAAATGTAAAGTGGACAAGGACTGCAGAGAGGTTTGTATGTGCAGGCAGAATTTGTCTAGTGGTGACAGAAGGCAGAGAACTGTATGGCCACTAACCATGTGAGTGCACTACTGTTGCTGCTGCATTAACATTTTGAGTACTGAGAATATGAGGGGTGAAAATCAGCATCTCCTCTTAAAAATTCATGATGATTTTTTTTTTCATTATATCATTTTTATCGTTCTTTACTGTTTTAGGGCATGCATTTAAATTCCTTTCCTCTGAGAACATGTATCCATAAGGTTGCTGCACTGGTAAATGGTTTTAATTTCAGTAGAGTTTGTTGCTGTTGCTCTTGACCTCCACCCTTGCCACACTGTGAAGTTTGTAGTGAACTTTGAGGAATTTTTGGCCGTCTGCCTATTCCCAAAGCATTCTGCAGATGCTCAGATGAGATGTAGATGAGATTAGATGTGTGCATGTGATTCATGCACAAATGAGGTGGTAAGTAAATTGGCACAGTTCCACTGAAGGCAAATGACCTCTTGTGCAGCGTGCATCCTTCAAAGAACCTCAGGCTGCTCCTCCTGCCCAGCCGCTCAAACTGGCTGCTCCATCAGCAAGAAATGTGAGGGAGAAGGTCTCCATGCACTGAAGTGCATGAGCGGTGCCTGCATCAGGCCCTGAAGAACTTGCTGTAAGGATAAAAACCTCTTCATTAAGGAAGTAGTTTTTAGGACTGTGTTTTATAGAGCCCAAAGCAGCCAAGTAGGAAACTAGGAAGGTGTTGAGAGTTTTCTACTGGGGATCACTTTCCTTTCCATTGACATGCCTTTTTTTCCTTGTCTCCCTGTTCACATCGCTGGAAATCTGAAATAAGAAAGACCTTTGATGTTGAAATATATTTTTAATTTTGCCTGGGTGAGGTTGTGAATTATTCACAGTGTCTTGTTTCTTCTCCTGATTTTACAACACAACAATTTTAAATATGCAGAGACTTGCAACGAGAACTGGTATTGGAGAGGAGAGCAAACTGCTCTATCAGCCCAGAGCACAGTGAGCAACACTGGGGGAAAAAAAGAATTTAGGTTGGCAGTGGCAGCCCTACAGAAGATGCAGATGAGGCTGAGCACACATTATGCAAGGAGGGCACACTCTTAGCACAGTCTGTGGGATAAACAAGACCTCTGGGGCATAAAACCAGACACGCACTGACCCTCCTAAGACCTCCGGGAGATCTCCTAAAATAAATAAGTTCCAGGACTCCTGCTTTGGATTACAGGCGTTTGCAACATGGCCTGATGTCTTATGTTGCAAATGAATGACAAATGCAAAAGAAATTTTGTTACTTTTCAGTGCTATCTGTTGCACCGACCCCAGGAGGCTGGGTGATGGATCAGGCCAGCCCAGGGCAAACACAGAGAGTTTCACACCTGGCCACAGAAGGAACAGGCTCCATGCCTTTCATGGAGCATCCAGATCCTTGTAGAGTCTAAAATCCAGCTGTACTCTAGTTTAGTTCTGACAGAGAAACTGGTGAAGGGTCGTTTCGAGGGCATCCATGCTCCAGGATGGAGAGCACAGAGCTGAGAGCCAATTTGCAGGGAAAGCCCTGAAGGAAAGACAACTTTGAACATAGCATCCACTTAATAAACGAGAAATTAAGACTTAATAATGCAGCAAAAGTCTATTAACCTCTCTTGATCTAAGGGTTGCTTGTTCACGCGCACTCTCCATGGGGATGCTGCGCTTTTCCTGGTCTGCACACATGTGCAAAGAATAGGTTTCCAGCTGTGTTATCTCTGCTCAGCACCTTTCCCTCCTAGGGGCTGAATTTGTCCTTCAGGAAAAGCATCAAATCTCAAGGGCTTTACTTTCCTCACCTTCTTTCTTCCTCCCAATGGAGGAACTCAGACAACTCAGGGAGCGAAAGAGATGACTTCTGCAGTAAAACCTTTCATCTGCAGCATCTCAAAGCATTGGGTTCTCCTTTCTGATGTCTAGGAGCTGTCGCAGTGGCTCGTTGCCTACTCAATGCTGTCTGGGGGGTCCAAGGCTGATTCTGAACTCTGAAATTGGTGTCACTGCCTGAGTAGTTCAAGCCAGTTTGCTCTCTGTCCAATGCATCTCCAGTCGCAGCGTTTCTCTAGCTAGTATATCTTAGCTCCTGAGTGTTGTGCTTCAGCTATCAGAAGGAGGAATCAGGGTTTTTTCTCCACAAACAGCTGCTTTTTCCACTTCCTGGTGAAACCCCAGTGTTGGTGCTGCCTGAATCCCACAGGTTCCTCAGAGAGCTGCAGCTGAGGAGCATCACTCCAGGTCTTCCCTTTCCATTTGCAGCCATGTGCAGTGGAGGTGAAGCCCTATTAATGTCTGCAGCATCTCCACACAGCTAAATAGCTGAGAAATACTTCTGCCCCAAAGCACACCACTTTGCTCCCCCAAACCTCTCCCACACGGCTGTCCTTCCAGTGGCAAACAAGCTGCCTGATGAAAATTCACAAAGCCTGACCTTCCTTCAATCCCCCTGTGAAAATCCACCTTGACAATGAGACCTGGAAATGCGCTGACAGCAAGGAGGCACCTGGCACTCTGTGACTGCTGCTTCTCACACTAATCACTGTCACCTCATTGCTGTGTGCTTTCCTGAGTGTTTGCTATATGCACCTATTGTGTTTCATTGGATACTTGGATTTAAGGCCTCCAGGACAGGAACTTTCTGCGGTTTGTGTGGATGCGACAGAGCCTTGATCCCTGCCAAGGGCTCCATGCATTGCTCAATGCGTGATGATGTTTAAAGTGAGAAGGGAAATCAGAGCCTAGTCATTTTCCAGGGAAAATATTTTCCCGGGAGTCAATAATGATGGTGCGGTTTCTGCCACAAGTGCGGTCAGAAGATAATATGTAAGAGTATGAAAGAGCGTTACATGCCAGACTTCTCCACTTCGTTCTCATGAAGCCAATTGCAAGATTTCAACCAATCCATTATTTTGATGACAAGTATTTTTGTTCCATCAGAAATTTCCACTTTTCACCTCAAAGCCAAAATCTCAATCCTTGACGTATCAATTGCTAGGAAAAAAAAAAATCCAATAAAAAATAGCTTGATTTTCAGCCAGAATCGTTTTTAATTCAGACATTTGGTTTCCAGATGAGGTCAGGAACATGTCCAGGGGAAGGAGAGGGATTACAAGGTTTTGTGGGTTTTTTTTTTGTTTGTTTGTTTGTTTTAATGTAATTAAAACAAATTTTTTGGGGCAAATCAAACTATTTCAGCTAATCACCGCTTTTAAGGAAAGTAAGCACTTGTAGACTAAAAAAAAAACTGCAAAACTGGAGAGCAAAATATTTCTTGGCCTAAGAAGTAGCACTGTGGGTTTTTTTTCTTTTGACCAGGCCATCATTTCCAGGGGCAATGAATTCATCAGTGGCTCATTTATCAAACCTCCATAAGAGTGCTATGTAGAAATGCACATTCCTACCTTCAGCATCTATTCTTTTCATTTATTAAAATCAGAGCTTCACACATCAAGGAGACAGGATGGTATTCTATGCTTCTGATGGATTTTCATTTAGCTCACGAAGCACAAATTGAACTTTGAAGTAAATATAACTTCTCGGCTTTGTGTCCTTTTCATGTTTCTTTTAGATTCATGTTTCTGCTAACATTCAGGATGCCTGGTGCTATCAGATCTAACTGCCTCGCTACCAAACTGCCTGTGCTTACTGACTCAAAGTCACCTGCTATCCCTTACCCCACGTTATCTCTACTTAAATTCACCAAAAGAGACAGTAGGACAGGAGGCAAAGCAGAAAGGAGACTTGGCTTAGCTTAACTTTCTCATTTGATCTTCCCTCTTATTGCTCCCCTTCACAGCCCCTCCATCCTTACCCATTTTCATGGCCACTGGAAGCTAAACAGGTACATGCAGTTATTAGTTTGTCTTCTGTACCCACCTATACACAAGTTAAATCATTCATTTCTACTAGAAACCAGTGTAGAGAATTGCATAAATAGCCTCTGCTCCTGCCAGGCGTGCATCATTCTAGATGCAATCCTACAGAGAAAAGCATTCCTCACATTGGCCGAGTGGTCTGAATCCTTTCCAGCAGTTGTGCGGAAGCTCTGCTGACTGATAAACATTCAAAGCATCATCTACTGAACTAAGCAGAGCTGATCTATGAGTATAGTGGATGCATTGGTTGAATAGAGAAGGAGATTCTAGCTCCTTAATACTAATGAGGAAAGGTGGATCCATCTAATAAGTGTTTTATGTGTCAAGATATTCTTCCTAGAGGTGTAAAACAGGATATCATAGACCATAGAACATCCCAAGTTGGAAGGGACCTACAAGGATATTCTACACCAGGTCCTGGAATATCTTGTCTGCCCTGCCTGGCAGCTTCCTGGCCCTACTGGAAGCTGTTTTTCTTCTCACTGCAGGAGAGGAGGCCCTGACCATGTATATGGACAAAAGTCGCCTCGACAGGAAGTCAGGAAACGCTACTCAGAGCGTGGAAGCTTTGCACCAGCTCGCTTCCTCCTACTTTGTAGACCGTGATGGCACCATGAGGAGACTCCACGAGATCCAGATCTCTACGGGAGCAATCAAGGTACTGTGTCCAGCTACATATTCCCAAACCACTAATGCAGGGGTTTGGCAGGAAGCAGAAATTCTGAACATGAACTCCTGAGACAAGTAATGTCTGGAAAGAGGTGGGAATTCAGTGTGATGGTTACATAGGCTAGGAGATTTCCACTATGCGTGCCAGTGACTCCTAGAAGGAAGAGAGGGAAGAGATAACCCAGATTAGCAATGAAGATGGGAAAGGAAAGGCAGGTCTGTGGAGTGGACACCCGTGCAACCCAAGAATATTTTCCCCTTGTGGCTAGAGGACTGATAAACATCTGTCTGATGAACTCACTGCAAGAAAAGGTGAAAAACTGTGTGGCATTACTGAGGCATCTGGAATGAAATGGACTGAGAGACAGCTTGGGGGTTGGAGCAGGAAGGAGGGAGAGCTGCTCAGAGCATACAAAATAGGGAAAATGGCTCTGCAGACAAAGGCTGCCTTCTCTGAAAGCAATCATCCTATAGTGGGGAGGGATTTTATTGTTGCGGAGTTCACTCCAGGGAAGGTGAATGTGGATGGAGTTGTCATTGTTAGCCATTTCTGAAAGGTTTCAGCTCTTATTATTGTTCTGTGGTGTCTCATGGCTGAGTCTGTTCCCTCCTGGATGGGAAATCGGATTGAGATATTGAAACAGTGACAGCAGATAATCACCCTCTGTGAATTCAGGAAGGGCAGCTCTCCTCCATGGCTGGAAACCAACAGCAACAGCCACAGAAGCAGCACTGCAGGTCATCTGTGCCTCCTTCTATCCTTAGAATGAGGATGGTGTGCGCATATGCTGTGGGAGCAGTAGGTGCCATTGCAGGCTGGCAATCCATCTTGCATCTTGTTTTCCATTAAGAGATGCCAGGGAATAATTTCTCTACTGGCTTCTGGTGTTCTCCACTGGAGATCCTCCTCCTTCCAAGCCCAGGATAACATGCTGTTCCATAAGGAAAGCAGGCACAAGTCACTCTGTTCTTTCCAGCTCATGGGTACCTCAAGCATTAGCCACATCTGTCCAGTGAGGAACATATTTTCTCAATCACATAAGATGGATTTTGGATTGCATCAGCTGGTGGCAATGGGTCAATGTATCACAAAGTCTGAACCTGCCTGGAGAAGATGTGGTGCTGGAACCAAAGGCAACACTCTGTTCTCTCTTTTCTACATCCTCTGCAGGTAACAGAAACTCGGACTGGCCCCCTGGGCTGTAACAGCTACGACAATCTGGACTCTGTGAGTTCTGTCCTTCTGCAAAGCACTGAAAGCAAACTCCACCTGCAAGGTAGGACACAGGAAGAAGGGAGAGGGGCAATCAGGGCACGGAGTGGGGATGCAATGAGAACGGGCTGACCTTTTATTTTCCCTGTTTTCTGTGATCACCTTCTGCAGTTCAAGTTCCATACACAATTAGGGCTAAGCTAAAGGTGGAAGAAGCTGCAGATTGGGCTTGAGCAAAGAAACTGGGTGTTCCCTCCTATACTAAATTTTGACAGATTTCTGTGGATTATGCATACAGCAATACAAATAAATGTCACTTTTTTCCATTAATATTGATGGGACATACTGCCCACATCTCACTTTGTCCCTCTGTATAATCAATAAATGTACAGATATTACAGTTATGAAATATACCAGAGAGTTTGGCTAAGAAGGTTATTACACCAAAAGAGAATAGATAGAATGACTTACCCGTGTCCTGGGCTCACTGTAAAACTCCAAAGGAGGGATGTCCAGAAAGAGGTCCTTCCTCCCTGGCAGCTCTTAAATAGGTCCAGGAGAGGTGCAGCCATGCTCCACCCCTTCCAGCAGCACAGGAGAATTGCCTTCACCTGTGCTCCCATGGCTGACGCATTGCTCGCCTCAGGTGATCAATCAGAGGTTCAGGCTGTGATTCAGCAGTTCCCACGCACCCTCCCAAACTGATTATTTGCAGAAAAGCAGTGCAGATCAATTTTTGGGACTTTCTAAAGAACATAATCTTGGGGAAAGATCATAGATGTTTTATTCGAAGGCTGAAAGCCATGGCTTCAGTCCCAGCCTGGGGAGCTAGTTCAGAAGTCTACAGTCAGAAGTCACAACTGAATTAATAAATTAATAAATAAAATAAAACATGCTGGTTATCAAGAAGTCAACTTTGGTAGAAGGAGAAAATTCAATGGGTGCATAATTTCCCAAATTTATTTCCATTTTTTTTTATAAACTAAGGAAATGTGGGATTTAATTGCTCATTTGCCCAGATGTTTTTATTTCTGGAATCTTTGTACTTGCACAAACTCTAATTTTTCAGATGAATGGGCTACATTACATCAGCTTTAAGTGTAATTTGGCAAGTGCTATTTTAATCTTGGTTTCAAAGAAACTGGGTTTAATTTACTGAGTCATATTATTATTGTTGTTATTATTTGCCCTTAAAAATAATAGGCAGGTTGCTTTCACTTTTCTTGAAATCACTGAATTTTGATACTTAACCTAATTAACAATAAGCAATTTGAGGCTTTTTGTATACTGTGGTGATGATTGTTGGTAATGAAAACCGAAGAATGACACATCAACTAAGTAAGTAAAGAGCTAAATAGACTGACAGCTTGGTTCATGGGCAGACAGTGGGTAAGTAAGTAAATCAGCAGATATCTGTTGCTGTCTGATCCTAAAAGAAAGAGAAAAAGCAAGATAGCTGGAAGGGAGAAGGAGAGGGAAGAAGGGAATTTTAGAAGAGAGAGGGCAGGTAAGGAGGACAAGGCAGCAGACAGAGGGATGTGGCAGCAGGAGCTCATGGTCAACAAGAATTGGGTTTCATGGAGTTACACAGCAAAACCAGGGGTCAGACCCAATCCAAGGGAGACAGTGATGGAAGGAGGGAAGGAGAAAGCTGTTCTTAGTAGGACAAAGTGATCTTTAAAGCTACACCTGAATGTTTTCTTTCTAATCTGGAGAGCGGCTCTTGGGGTAATTACCCAGGATCCTTCCTCTGCTCTGAGAGGACTCATTAGGAATTAGTCACAGGACTGTTGGTAATGGATCGTGACCATGTCTCCTCCGATCTGATTAGCAGCCAAGCAAGGGCTGCTGACAGAAATCCATGTCACTACCTTTCCTCTGGCTCTGAGGTTGGCTCAACAAAAGAGCAGCATCTTCATGACAGGGAACATCTCTGTCCCTCGTTGCAGCCGTATGTAAGAGTCGTGTGTTCAAAGATGTGCAATTTGGGCTCGGTGGCTGGGCCCACTGCTACCTCCAGACCTGCGTGCAGGGTTTGGGGGGGTCAGCCAGCCTGGAGGTGTAGGGAAGGACTGGACAGCACACATAGTGCGAGGCCCAACACCTGTGGTAACATGGACCTCTACAGCAATGAGTGGGAAAACGGGAATTTCTGCTTCCTGCCAAACATTGATGGGCTGAAACTGGAAAATCAGAGCGCAAAAAAGCAACAGTCAGAAAAGTAGTGCAGAATTAAAATTCCAGAGGCAGCTTCTTGGGCGGTCTGACCATCTCTGTCTATATTGCAACATGGCACAGTTTCAACAAGATAAAATCCCTGTGCTGTTTTAAACATTGCAACATAAATCAGGAGATATTGCACACTGGGTAGTTTGTTACATCAAATATGGTAATGGAATATTAAAATTCACGTCACAATTAATATTAAAGTCTTCACCAAGATGGGCAGAGCTGTAATGACAACGAAAACATTTCAGCTTTTCAGTGAAACAAAATGAAGGAAGTATGAAAAACACACTTAGACCTTTCCCTGTCAAAAGTGCTTTTTGAGTCAACATATTCTCACAAAATGCTTCAGTGAAACTGCATTTTCAACAGAGAACTCTTCTATGGAAAATGTTTCAAATAGCTCTAATTTAGAGCAGGGGAAATTTACCTCTTTTAATGCAGGAAGCCTTTTGTATGCAGTCCAAAGCCAAACATCTCTCTCTAATAGATTTTCTAGGTGAATTAAGGACATGTTCCCTTGTCAGACACTTCATATTCTGCCTGCAGTCTTCAAAGCCAAACCTATACCAAACCTGTGCTCCTCTTTATTTTTTAAAGAGGAACTTTACACTTCAGAATTCCCCCTTCTGACCAATGGTATCTTCAAAACCAAGACATTTTCCCTATCAGTAATCAACAGCAGACGTGCCTTCTTCCTGCACTGTCAGCTCCCAAGGCTGCCATGAAGGAAAGAGCCAATTCCTTGTGCACCTGGCTTGCACTGAGGTGTTCACCTCATGATATTGGTTCATGATCCCAGTCTTTAAGGCCAACTCCCTGCTTGGCTGCTGAGACAGGATTAATCAGTAGATGACAATGAGGGAATAAATAGCAACTTATTTGCATGTTTGTAGGAGTCAAAGATAATACCTAGGGAATGATACAGCACCGTGAGTTGTTTTGTTAGGGCTGGGGCTGGCAGAGGTTTTTTCTGCAAGGAAACTTTTGTCTTGAAGATCTCTGAATAACATGGAATTTCTGTTGTGCATTTGCTTGAGTGCTGAGTTTGGAGTAGGTACATGCATGATTCACTGGGTGGTTGGATTTGTGTGTTACATGTGTTCCAGGCCTAAACATGTAATTATGTGCTTCTTCTTAAGTGCTACAATTATCTACACAGATTTCAGCAGAACTCCTTGCCCCATTGAAGTTAAGTATTTATACAGGTGCTTTGCTGAGTCTGACACTCACTTAAACAAAGGGTCATTTACACTGCCGTGGGAATATGAAATTATTTCTTATAAGAGAAGGTTATCTTGGAAACATTTTTCAGAGACCACAGATTTCACAAACAAAAATCAAATACTTGCAGTGTGGGATGTGACCATGAGTTTTATTTTGGAGATTACAAGTTATTCATGTTTCTGCATGTGCTGGGACACACTGCATATGTCTTTTCCAATGGAAAGTAGTTCCCCTGCATCTTTACTGGCTTGTTTTCACACCTTTCCACTCCAGAAAAAGTCTGCAAAGCCTGTGCCATTCGTAGCTGGAACCAGACAGCATGTTGATGCTCTTAGCTGACTTAAAATTCAAACAGAAAACACAGTGAGCTGAAGAGCCTGTGGGCTTTTGGGCTTCGTATTCAAAGGTTGAGGCCAGGGCAGGTTGCTCCTCCGTGAAGCAGAAAGTGGAAAGATTTATTCACAGGACTTGGACCATGCATAAACAGGGTCAGTGCACAGCGAGGAGCCTGGCCCCATCTTCGGTGAGCGTGAGAGCTCAGGGAGTGCAGCAGCCTTCGGGCTCTCCAACCTTCTTCTGTAGGTCTCAGTTCTCCAGCAGCTCAGTGCTTTCTTTCCATTCCTCGGTGTTGGAGCCTGGCAGAAAGAACCATCCCTAATGTCAGTGTGATGGTTTGAAAAGAGATCATCCTTCTGTGGTGGCTGCTTCAGATAAATCCCTAAAAGAGTCTGAACGTCAGCCCTTCTTGCAGTCAAGAGGAGGAAAGCTACGTTTTTAATTCAGATACATCTCAGGAAAGAGCAAAGAAACCTCAAAATGCTGCTGTTGCCCTGATCCTCCCCAGACTAGCTCTATGATGTTTACAGAGATGCTGTAATCTGCCCAGCCTTGTGCATGCTCCCTCCCCTCCTAAGGCCCAGCCTGAAGCCCTGCCTCATGTCACATGCTGAGCTGTGCCCCATGCTCATCCCGCCTGGCAGCTGCCACTGCTCTGAGCCCAGCTGCAAATCGGGTCAGACAGGGCTGCAACCGGGCATGGTGAGCAGCAGGGGGAGAAGGGATGTCCCCGTGGTTCCCCATGCCCCCTGATGCTGCTGGGCCTGGGGGACCCTGCCAAGGCTGAGGTGTCTGTGTGGAACCAGAGGGCAGTGGGCTGTGTGGTGCTCAGGGGCCTGAGGTGAACAAGACCCAGCACAGAGGTGAGCCTGAACTCCTGGACGGCAGCGTAGCCCTTCCTGCCCTTCCTGCACGCTCTCACCCTCTGAATTATTGCCTTATTTTCATTCCACTCCAATGAGCTGTCAGCAACGGATACGGTAATTCAGCGCTGCAGAAACACAAACAGATGGGTAATTGACCCGCGCGCCTTCGTTGCGCTGGAGTTCAGCGCTGCTGTTCGAGCCATAAACTCCTCTCTGCCACTCTGCCGTCCCTGGGCCATTTACAAGGGATGAGCCCGCAAGCCTCCACCCTGCCTCACGCACCCTGAGTGATGCTGACAGCCCCGGCGCAGAGAAACAGCTGTGAGTCCTCAAAAGCCCCAGGGCTGTCTGCAGGGAGCCCAGAGATGGCGGCTGGAGGAGGAGAGGCTGCAAAGGCGTATGTGTTGTACACAGGGCACGCAGGGAAACTGCCATCACGTCCTCGGGTACCCGAGCAGGCATCCGCCCACACGTGTGCCTGCACAGATGGATGGATGCACAAACACTTGCTGCAGAGAAAGAGAGCTGGGGATTGATCTCTCAGCTAATGTAAACCTTCCGAGCACCACTGAAATCCCTGGCACTAAATCCATTTGCACTTTTATAGGATTTGGCAAGTAGCCCTCCTAGCAGGGAGTGAGCTGGAAAGAGTCAGGTACCCGGCTCCTGTATTTATGCCGTGGGAGCTGGGCACTTAACTCTGCAAGGCTCTTTTAGAAATCCCTCCCCGTATTATTTTCCATTCTTCTGTTTTCCTTTCTCTTCTCTTCTCTTCTTTTTTTTTTTTTTTTTTTTTTTCCTTTTTCTTTTTTTTCGGTGCATAGTTTTTGTTTCTGTGGTACCAAACCTATTTAGTCTCTCCCAGAACAGCATGATGCTCATCACTTCGGAGCTAGTGCTTGGCTGCAAAGCACAACAACCAATACATGGGGTAAGGGATGCTTTGCTCTCTGCTGCTTCATACCACAGTGGGACCCAGGACTGGGAGGAAGAGGGGAATTGATCTCAGCTCATCTACTGCTTGCACCCAAGGCGTATATTTTCTAACCATCTTCCTTACCCATGACAGCGCTGAGAGAAATCTCCCAACAGTTTTTAATTCCTCAGTATCACTTCCCCATGCTGTTAATGAAACAGGTTTTGAAAGCAGAGCAGATGCCTGAAATGACCTTTTTTTTTTTTTCCCCCCCCCCCCCGGCATTCATGCTTCATTTCCAGGTCTCCAGATCATCTTCCCCCAGTACCTACAAGAGAAGTTTGTCCAGTCTGCCTTGAGCTACATCATGTGCAATGGGGAGGGCGAGTACATCTGTAGGAACAGCCAGTGTGGCTGCCAATGCGCAGAGGAGTTCCCACAGTGCAACTGCCCCATCACCGACATCCAGATCATGGAGTACACTCTAGCCAACATGGCCAAGACCTGGACAGAAGCCTATAAAGATCTGGAGAATTCAGGTAACCAAGCAAAACACGTTTTCCAATTGATTTCTTTCAAACAAATTATACTAGTTGAGAATCATTTTCTTCTCCAGTATAGTGTTACGGTTTGGATAAAAAATAGATGATCTCGAGCCCCAAAGCATGATCTTGATAGTGAGGGATTCTTGTTTTTTCTCTATGTGTGTACATGTAAGACCACATACACTGTGCATAATAATATGTGTAAGAGATATTTTCCATGGAAGATTTTTTTTTTTTTTAAATTAAAAATCTGATTTTTCAATCCAAACCAGCTCAGAACCTCTCTTTAATAGCCCTACAGAGAAACTTCCACAATATGAATGATGCAGAAATTGCTTTTCAGATTTGCATGAATGATTTATTCTGCTTTGGTGAAAGGCAATTCACGGGGAGAGCACAGGCCAGATGACACCTCATTTGAGACAGAGAGAAGGGAAAATGACTTCTCTTTCCTACAGCACTGATGTCTGTTGGTGTGAACATTTCTCTTCCTCCTCTGCTTTCTCCCAGTGCTGTCAGTGTCAGTGCATTGATGCTGAGGAGGTTGGAACTGGACGATCTTTAAGATCCCTTCCAACCCAAGGTGTTCTTTGATTCTGTGATGCTGGCAAAACCCATAATGAAGGCTGCTACATTTCTCATGCAACATGAGACAAAATAGCCTTGTGCTTGGGAGAGCAGTCAGAGCAGCAGCCAGTGGCCCAAGGCTGATAGATGACTGCTGCAGGGCACATACTATGGGGATCCACAGTCCGGGGCAGTTCCAGAAGCAGCCTACTAGCTGAAGGGCTCAGTGGTTTTCAGGTTATTTCTGCAGATTTATGGATGGAGCGGGAACAGCAGGGTAAAGCAGAAACTGAGCTCTGCTTGCTCAGTACTGTACAAAACCCATGTTACTTGTTGCTACCTCTGGTATGGGAATTCCACACAAGCAGCTCAAGAGCCATACATTGGCCACCACTCATCAAATCCTTTTGCAGGGGTTCTAACCCAGACACATTGACGGTTTGCCCTATGGAGAGCAAAGAATTACAGTGCCCCAGTGACTGTTTTACTATTGCACTGGGCACTTGTTGCAATTGATCTAAGCAAAGACTGCAGTAGATAATTATATTCAGTCTCCCATGCCTTGAGATTTCAACATGAAAGGGTGTTTTTCATTTGCCATGTTAAAGTGACACATTGCAGTGCAATTCTCTGCTGCACTGTGGCCATATTCCACCCAGTACTGGAGGCTTTTCAGGACTAGATGGAGTGATTATCTCTATGTTTAAAGCTGCTGCATCTCGTTCATCATTTTGTTGCATCATGCATGAACTCATTCTTTGAGATGAAAGTTGCTGTCACAAAAGACTACAGTATTAGTGTTTGGCTTCTTTGTTTTAATAAAAATTCCCAATAACTGGAGGATTTTCTTTATAATGAACAGCAGAAGAAAAATCTCTAATGACATCTGAAGGCTTTCTCAATAAAGTGGGGTGAAATGCACATGAAAGCAAATAACATTTGTGCAGGAAGATGCTGATAGCCTAAAAGATCTGTATTCTGTTTCTGATCTGTGTTGGATTCCTACATCAATTCAAAAAAAAAAAACCAACCAAAAAATAGAAAATAAAAGCAAAAATCATGCAGGGGGAAATAAATGGATGGTGTGATATGGGAGAGCAGCTCCTCCAGAGGTGGGACTGCAGACCTGCACTGCCTGCAGTGATGAGTCATGGCCAGCGGTGCAGTGACTCAGCAGAAAGGTGGGGCATTCTGGGAGATGTAGTCCCAGCCCTACCGTCAGCAATATCCTCTGCTGCAAGAAATACAGCAGCAAGAAAAGGAAAATAACCTGATCGGTGAATTGGGATCTTCTGGGTTAAGAATGAACTATTCTTATACAGAAAAGTACAAGGCTTAGCACAAGCTTGGCTGGGGAGCCCCTGGAGATGGCTAGAATGTAAATAAATAATGAAGAATTACTTTCTGGATGGTCTTTTCTTTTTCTTTGTTTTTTCCCCCTTTTTACAAAACAACACCGTTCAGCTGTTAGTTTGCCAGATTTCTGTGCTCATTTGTTTTTCCCCCAACGTTGCACTGCAGTATCAAAATGTGCACACAGCACCGAAATTTCTCCCTTACCCGTCTCTATGAAAAATGTAGCACATTCATCATCGGAGGGAAAAAAGCTTGGTCTTCTGCACAAACAGGCTTTTGAGGAAATTGATTTATAAGGGGTGGGAAGCAAATGCAAGGCTTTTACTGCTGAAAGGTATGAGAAGTAATCAGCATGGTCAACAGAAGCAATTATACATGATGATAGTTTCAGAGGACCACTGCACGGGAGAGAATCATTTTTGGGGAGGAGAAGGGCACTGAAAGCAGCATTACTGATGGAGTGAAAAGCTGAGGGATTAAAAAAGCATCTCCCAGTTATCTTTTGGGGAAGAAGACAAGCAGATATCCCGTGGATCATGATAGCACAATGGTGATAATTATTTTTATTAGGTGCTCAGTTTCACTGTGTGACAAGTAAGACATGATCATCCATTTACCATCTATGTAGTGATCCCACCAACTAATGCAGAGATATTCTTTGTTAAGCAGTTAAGAATGAATTGCAGATTGTTAAATAATAGGAAAACTGTTATGCAAATATATATAGTCTTATGAATTCACATATACGAGCTTTGTACAATAGGCTCTAAATTATCTGCTTTGATAATTCTATGTAACACTATGGATTATTTCTTCTTGTTAGATATCTGCCTTTTCAAGCTTTCTTTTTTTGCTTTTTTTTTTTTCTTCTCTTTTCCTTCTGAAAGTGAGATGAAGATAAAATTTTTTAAATAATGAGGAAAGGAAGAAAGATAGCATTGATAACATTACTGGAAAGGAGGGCTGTGTCTTTTCACTGAATGCATTGTGGGTTGGGGTGGGTGTTTGATCCAACTTGTGGCTAGAAGCAGTGACCATCACCAGCGGTAATCAGGTCAGCTGTGGTTTTGTCCACTGGTCTAAAATAGGAGATTCTTCGTCATTTCTGGGCAGCCCATTCCAGCACTGCATTACCTCTAAGTGAAGTTTTCCAACAAGTCGCTTGAACTTCTCAAGCTGCAGATTGTGTCCTTGTTATGTCATCTACCTTTAATAAGAAGACTTTCTCTCCTTCATGTTTGTAACTGTCTTCTGAGAAGTGTCATTAGATTGCCCCTTGGCTTCTGCTTCACCAGATTAAAGAAGTGCAGATCCCTGCACCTGACCTGGCAGGACCTGTGCTGAGGCCCCTGACCACCTCTGTAGCTCTCAGCTGTGTCCTCCCCAGTTTCTCAACACCCATTTTTAATTGGATGTCCCTAAAACTGGACGTGCAGCCTCAGCAGTTCCAAGAAATAGGGAATCTTTACTTCCCCTTATCTACTGGATTTAGCCCCGTATGCAGTTTGCTACAAGGGCAGAGGGAACATGTTGTTGACCCACCTTCAGCACGGTGCTCACCACAAAGCTGGGACCATTCCAGCTGCTGTTGGCTGTTTTCAAGCTTGTGCTGATGTTGGGGCTGTTCTGCCCTGGCGCAGAGCTTTCTGCTTTTCTTTATTGCACTTTACGAGGTTTGTGTTGGCCCACTCCTCAAGTTTCTCAAGGTCCCAGTGTGCCAAACAGTTTTCTAGTATCAAAAAATGGGCTATTTTCTACTGAGGATGTTGGAACCATCTGTCTCATCCACATGAGGATGTCCCAGCCTGGCAATCAGAGTCTAAGCAAACTATCCTACTTGGTTTGGAAAAAAAGGATCATAAACAGGAATGGTCATAAAAACAAAAAGGATCAGATTTTCTGTTCTGTGATGGGAGAAAAAAAAAACAAAACAACACCCAGATCTAACATAAAGTTTTTTTTATTATTATTATTATCAAGCAAAATCAAACAGAAATAAAACGATCACAAAATAACATTTAAGAGCATATTTTTAGATTGGTTAGATTTTTTCCTTTGGCTAAAACTGATGCATTTTTTCTGACTTTAGCCCTGCAAAATATTTTGTTTTGTTCACATTGTTGCATAGAGTGACTCATTTAACTTGAAATGAAGAAAAAGAAGTGTCTTTAAAAAAAAAAAAAGAGAGAGAGAGCAGGACATTTTAGAACAATTCAAACCATTCCATTGGGGATTTTCTGAAGCTTTCTTCCCCCTTTTTTCCTAATGATACAGCCAAAGTGATTTGACTTCCAGCAACAAATGGCATTTTAGGAGCATCTGAAAAACAACTGAAATGAGCACTCTAGCTGAGGGTGATTACAGCTCCCTGCTTTTTTTCACAGGCCCCAGACTATACCCCCATGCTGCAGGGAACGTGGTCTTGTCTTTCTCCGCCTTGTGCACATTAACTGTATTATTTTGTGGATTTCACTTCCCATACCATAGCAGCAATGGAAGTGGTGGGTTTCCTGGGGCACAATAGCATCCCAGTGGGTTAAGAGCCATCAGCTCCCCTTAGCAGAGCACTTGGCACCCCATACATCATTGCTGCTTCTCCATCCTGCCATCCTGCACATGAAACTCCTTGCAACTTCATGATAGTCCTCTAGTTCTATTTCTCAACTTCCCTGTGCGTTCCAGATGAGTTCAAATCCTTCATGAAAAGGCTACCTAGCAACCACTTCCTGACCATTGCAAGCATCCACCAGCACTGGGGGAACGACTGGGACCTGCAGAACCGCTACAAACTGCTGCAGAGCTCCTTGGAAGCCCAGCGCCAGAAGATCCAGCGCACTGCCCGCAAACTCTTCGGCCTCAGTGTCCGATGTCGGCACAACCCCAACCACCAGCTGCCTAGAGAAAGGTAACCTTCAGCCTTCGTGGGGATGGGAGCGGTGGGGTAGGGCTGGGCTCGGGGACCTGCAGGCAAAGTGAATTGATTGCGGGTGTGCTGGTACAAAGGTTTGGTGGAAAACTTTGAAACGGGTGCTGACCAAAAGCCCTGTGATGTCGTTACACGTGCAGAGGGCAGATTTTCCATTACGCCAACAACAACTATTGATGTCCAATAGTCACCTCCCTCTGGCTCTTCTCAGCACTGCCCTATGGCTAAGCTTGTTTGCTTCTCAACACTTCTGCAGAATTGCATCTGTAGATTTTTATTAAATATTGCTTGCTGTTTATTTCCACATTTTCTGGAATGAAGTAACACTGAAAATCTTGGGGAAAAAAAAAAAGAATCCAAGTGCCCTTTTCTTCCACGCATCTCTGGAAGTAGTCAGGCCAGGTTAACATTTGTAGAACTGGGTTTTAGCTCCTTTATTGCATATATATTCAAACTCAAGAGAAAATGAGCTGATTTTTGTGTCCTATTATCATCCTGCCCACTGGCTGCTATGCATGCTAAGTTTTCGTTCCACTGTGGTGCAGCTCAGGAAACTCTTCCAGGGTTTCAAGTCTCTTTTAATTATCCCAAATTTTGATGTCACTGGACAAAGACTAGATGGTGTTACCCAGGATGAGGAGAAATACCTATTAAGTGTTTATGAAAAGAAGACTTTGGAGAACTTCCTGGAGTTGGCCCATTCCTGTCAATTGGCCCCATTGCTACAAACCAGCCGATGGGTGGAGGAGTCACAAGCAAGTCCAGGCTTTATTTTGAGTTGTGCCACAACAGCAGAGAGCAGAGATCCACGCTGCTCCAAGCATTTAGCTAAATATGTCTTTAGCATTTCTCTTCTATTTTAAAAAGTCAGCCAGGCAGAAAGGGAGCCTCCAACTTGTATTATAGAATCTGGGGAAAGGAGGACAAAATGGATGATGGCAGCTGGGTTTTTTTAACTGACTGATGTGCTTGATTTGTTTAAGTCAACACCACCAGGCATATTATCATTTCTTTTCTTATTTGTCATTCTGCATTTGTAGCTAGGCAGGGGAGGGGCTCGGTAGACAGCTCTGTGGTGGAAGAGGTATGCATGTCATTGCTCTTTTCACACAGCTTGGAAATACTCTGATTTCCTAATTGTTACCGTGCAGAACAACAGACGCTTATTGAGCATGCCCGTGGCTTTGAAAGGATGGAAAGGTTCTATTAAGAGCAAGCCTCTCTCCTTCTTTTATACACATTATATATTCAAAAGCAACATAAAAAAAGAAATAGGACTGCTGTCCACTGCCCTCAGGGAAAGGAAGAGGTGGTGTTTCCAACAGAAAGGAAGATTAGGGATTTTTGCAATTAGGATAACTTTTCCATAACCTTTTGTAACAGCTAAAAAAAGAAATATAAATATCTATATTTGCTTACATTTTACTTAAAGCACCTCTTTGATGCCAAGTTTGTTGGTCTAAAAAAGAAACCACTCCCCAGTTGTTAAAGCTTCAATATTGAATGGGCACCTACAGCTGTATTTTATTTTAAAATTCTGGATGTAAAACATAAATAACACCAAAGGAGGGGGTTGATATGTGTTCTGGGCTGCAGCCATATCGTCATTAGTTAAAATACTCCTCCCAGCTGCTGAGAATGAAAACAGCGATGTCTGTTTCACTGCTGTGTACAGAAAGCCCAAAGGTATCTGCACAGCAGCTAGTGCTGCTGGGAACAGTGAAAGCTGAGCTTGTAAAGGAGAACTTCTTAAATTCTTACCTTTGTTTTTGCAATTGAGAAAATAAAAAAAAAAAAAAAAGAAGAAGAAGGAAAAAGAAAGAAGAATCTGTTCTGCTGGATGGTGGTTTGGTTTTGTTGTTCTTGTGCAATAGGTTTTAAATGGTGAAACACGACCACCTGGCTCCTAGTCCCCAGCATTGCCAGGCTGCATGACTCCCGTGCGCAACTGCAAGGAACCATTGCAGCTTAGTGCTTGCAGTTCTGCCTGGATGTCATTATTTTCATTTAAGTTTGGAGCATCAGATATTAAAGTTGAATGTAAAATTGCTTCCAGTTACCTTTGTAGACTGTTTTCTTTTTTATTAATTTCAAATACTCCAGTACTTCATATTTAAATTAGCAGAGGTAGCAAACACTAAGCAAAATAACTCTTGCAATCTTATTAAGGGAGAGAAAGAGAAATTGATGACGGCTTAATGAAAGGGAAAATAATAAAAATAAAAGTCAATGGCAACTCTGCTGCTGACTCTCAGCTCTCAAACAGTGGCTCTTTTCAGCTGCCTTCTGTCTTGTCTTGGTTACATTCACATGAGCTGAGCCATCAAGGGCAGTATTTCAAGGAGTTGCCTCCTGTCAGCCCAAGGGCTCTGACTGATTCTGTGTATATGCTTACCCTGACCAAGCTGGAGGATAAAATGGGGTAATTTTACCGCTTTTCCTCTCTCTCTCTCTCTCATGCTTCCCATTGTCATGCTTGTAGTCCGTGCCCAGCTCTGCCCTGGATTCTGCATTTTCATTTAATTACATCCTTTATTGCTGCCATCAGCAGATGGTGGGTAGTTCTTTTCTTCGCTTGTGTCCTACTTGTGTCTTTGCTGAGCGCTAAGATGTGCACACAGAACAATTCCTGCAGATCTCCTTCCATCTTTCCTCCACTAAGTTGATCTGAGGAACAGGAAAATTACTAGTTTCAATTGCAAAATATCAGCCAAAACTCCTTTGTTGTTTTGCTCTACCAACAGTTGGTAAAAGATAAGGAAGGAAGGAGAGCTCTTTTTTTTTCTCTCTTTTTTTCCTTTTTATTCTTCCCTAGGACAGAACACACCAGCTGGATAGGATGTGGTCATCTTACTCCAATTTTTGTAGCATCCCTTCTGCACAGCTCACATCTCAAGAACTCTGTCATTATCAACATATGAAATCTGTACCATAAAGCTTCAAACTTGCAGTGCTCCAAGCAGAACCATCCTAGAAGCCAGGCAATGTCATGGGCCCTTTTTCTAGGGACCAGGCTTTTCCACTGGCAGGAGAGCTCCTGCTAGCTCTGAGCATAGGTAGGCAACCCTGACAGCCCTGTACCACAGGAGGAATGTGAAAATTGCCCCTTCCCGCACTCAAGGTTTCTGAGTTTTTGTGATGATTCACTTCATTTTTTTCCCCTTCACTGTGTTTTTCTCAGTTTTCTTTGTGCTTCTTTTCTTTCCTGCCGTTTCTCTGTCTTTCAGTTATTGCTCATTTCAGCATCCCTAAGCCTTCTGCATTTCTTACCTATTTTTCCCGTTACCTGCACATTTTCCTCTCCTTTTCCCTTTCTAGTTCTGCTCCTCGATTATTTCTTTCCTTCCAGTGCTGTCCTCTGTTTTACACTCTTATCCCTCCTCTCACTCCCTCCCCCTAATCATCTTGCTGTTCTTTGCTGCTGTATCATTTAATGCCTTCTTTGATACAGCCTACAGCTTAATGATTATTCGGAGGTCAGGCGATGCAGGTGCCATGAATTTCACTAATCCAGCTCTGAGAGCCTCTGTCCATAATCACTCCTCCTGTTCTACAGGGACTGAATCCTAATTTGTCATTAGCCAGTCCTCTCACTGCAGTGCTACCAAGAACTTTTTGCCCAGAAGAGACAATGAAGTATTCATTAGCTGAGGGGAAGGCGGGGGGGAGGAGGGAGCTGGACGAGGCTGAACGAGGCGTTCTGCTGGAGGCTGCAGAGAAAGGAGTTGCTGTGCTGAGATTTCCCAGTGAGGGGGGAGAAGGGGCAGCGAGGCAGCTTTGCAGGGCGGTCATATGAAAAGCAAATGTGGGTTATGGTGTCATTCATTAGGAGCCAATGCAGGGCTGTGGGATGCAGAGATGAGGGTGCTCATGGAGCAGTGATGGGAGTGGTGGGACCTGGGAATGGGTAAGCGTGGCTGGATGAGAGGCTGTAAGAGGACATGAATTAGCAGCAGATTTTTTTAAAGGAGAATCCATTCAAGCAGCTTGGTCTCTGTGCACCCTGACTTGCATACTCTTCTGCTGGGGTTTGCACTCTGCACCACGAGAAGAGGTTACTATTGGCTTTGTGTCATCCCATTATAGAATCTGTTTTTGGGGAGTGGAGGGAATTGCCTGTGATATGGAGATGGGCGCCTGCCTCCTGCCAGTCTAGGAGTTATGCTGCAATACCTGATAACACTTCAGCCTCTGGCACTGCTTTATCAGCTCTGTTCCCATGGTTGAACTTTCTCAGCACTATGCTGATGGGAGCATTGTCAGAAGGCTGAGCCAGTCTCAGCTCTTAGAGCAGCATGAAGACAGAGCCCTTAGATGATCAGTGCTAACTTATGGCTATTTCTTAGAGGGCTTTTGTTCTCTGTGGGAGGAATAAACACCAGATGTAAGATTTAGCCTAGAAGTAACCTGGAATAGTTCCCAAATGTTGTAGTAGGATATCAATGCCCTGAAAGCTCTGCTCCAGTTATATCCCTAAAAGCACTATGACCATAGAAAGATGCCAACACTAAAGATTCTGTGAGGCTCTATGATGCTAATTCTCTCTTCTTCCTACCTGCAGGACAATACAGGAATGGCTTACCCGGGTCCAGTCCCTACTCTACTGCAATGAGAATGGGTTTTGGGGCACTTTTTTAGAAAGCCAGCGGAGCTGTGTTTGCCACGGTGGCACCAGCTTGTGTCAGCGTCCCATCCCTTGCATCATTGGGGGCAACAACAGCTGTGCCATGTGCAGCCTTGCCAATATCTCTCTCTGTGGCTCGTGCAACAAGGGCTATAAGCTTTATCGGGGCCGTTGTGAGCCTCAGAACGTAGACTCAGAGCGGAGTGAGCAATTCATCAGCTTCGAGACGGACTTGGACTTCCAGGACCTAGAGCTGAAGTACCTGCTGCAGAAAATGGACTCTCGCTTGTACGTGCATACCACCTTCATCAGCAACGAGATCCGCCTGGACACCTTCTTTGACCCCAGGTGGCGCAAACGCATGTCCCTCACCTTGAAGAGCAACAAGAACAGGATGGACTTCATCCACATGGTGATTGGGATCTCCATGCGCATCTGCCAGATGCGCAACAGCAGCCTGGACCCTATGTTCTTTGTCTATGTCAATCCGTTCAGTGGGAGTCACTCCGAGGGCTGGAACATGCCCTTTGGGGAGTACGGCTACCCACGCTGGGAGAAAATCCGCCTCCAAAACAGCCAGTGCTACAACTGGACCCTGCTACTGGGCAACCGGTGGAAAACCTTTTTCGAGACTGTCCACATCTACCTACGCAGCCGGACACGGCTGCCCTCCCTGCTGCGAAACGAGACGGGCCAAGGGCCCGTGGACCTTTCTGACCCCAGCAAGCGCCAGTTCTACATCAAGATCTCGGACGTGCAGGTGTACGGCTACAGCCTGCGCTTCAACGCTGACCTTCTGCGCAGCGCCGTGCAGCAGGTCAACCAGTCGTACACGCAAGGTGGGCAGTTCTATTCTTCCTCCTCCGTCATGCTCTTGCTGCTGGATATTCGGGACCGAATCAATAGACTGGCACCTCCTGTGGCCCCGGGGAAGCCCCAGCTGGATCTGTTCTCTTGTATGCTCAAGCACCGCCTGAAGCTCACCAACAGTGAAATCATCCGTGTGAACCACGCTCTAGACCTGTACAACACCGAGATCCTCAAACAGTCGGACCAGATGACAGCCAAACTCTGCTAACCCGGACTTTTCAGTGGGACACGTTGGTGACTGATCCTTTTGCTGTAAAAAAATAAAAGAGGAAAAAAAAAAAAAAAAAAGAGGGGAAAAAAAAAAAAAAACAAGTAAAAAAAAGAAAGAAAGAAAAGGGGGAAAAAGCAAAGAAGGGGGAAAAACAAAATTTGTAAAATGTAATTAATATACAAAAGAGAAAAAGAAAAGAGGAAATTCTTCATTTGTTGAAAACTAAACCCGTTCTAGCAGCTGTATAAAACTGTCAGGCATGTTTGTTATTTCTATAATCCGTCATAAAAGAGTAACACCTTACTCTCTCTTGACCTTGGAGGTGTTGCTTGCTAGTCCTCAGGGGCAGCAGGGTAAATAAATAAAGGGAGGAGCAGAGAGAGGGGCAAATTTCTGTAATGAACTGTAAAGATTTCTGCTATGCAGGTGCCAAGACAAAGAGACAAAAAAAATTCAAAGCAAACAAACAAAAAAGAGTTATATGTAAATGTAAGAGAACTGCCATTATTCCTAGTGGGAGTAAATGGTTAAAGATAAAAGATATTTCTCCTGTTGAGATTTATGCCAGCTTTATGTTGAGTTATTCACCCAGCCCATGCTGAGCTTTGCTGAAGGACAGAAGGTGATGGCAGTCCTTTGAGAGTAAAGCAAGGGCCTCATTGGGGAGAAGACACAGCAGGTGGAAGGGTGGATGCAGATCTGAGGTGGCATCACTTTGGCATTTTCACTTTGGAAGACTTCTCACCAGAGGTAGTGTCAGCTCTTGCTGAAGAGAAGGATGGGTCAGGTCTCCTTTCGTTTCACTCCATGCCTGCCAGCAGGCTGTTGCCTTCAGTGAGGCCAGAGCTCAACCTCTGTAAAACTTCCTGAGTCACTGCTCTTTAAGGTGTCTGAATACCATAAAATTGAGAAAGGCAAAACTATATTTCACACTGGAAAACCTGGAGTTAATGGCAAATCTGAGTTTGGTTTTTAGCCTATGTTCTGGTATGTCTGATAACACTGGGAAACCGCCATCACCGCAGAAAAACCCAAAGCATAGGTAAAGAAAGCGTATTTCCAAGGAAATCTGGGGATGCTGAGGGGTACATGGGTGATTTTAGTTCTTTGGGGAAGGAAAAATCCCTTATATTTTCTTATGATTCTGTAGCTATGAAGAATATCCTTCATTCACATTCTTTGTCCACCAAACAAACAAACAAACAAACATACGAAACCAAACAGAAAACAGATGAGAAAAATTTTATTACAGTATCTCCAGAACTCACGAAAATCTGCTCTCAGTTTACAAAGATAAAGACAGATTTAAAAGGGTTGAGTTATCAGACAGACAAAAAACCTGAAATAGCCAAAAGCTGTGTAAAGTTTTGCAGTGTGTGTGCATGTGTGTTTGGATATATTTTTTTTTAAATACAGGGTAGAGTGAATGGATGTAGGATCAGCTGAGCTGGTGATAAAACCTGAACACAATGGGAGGAGAGTAGTGGGTTATTTCTCTTAATTTCACTATTCTTAGTTAAAATTCTTTGTCAAAACTGCTAGTGACAGTTCTGCCCTTTCAGAAGGAATAAACAAAACTCTCATCCTTCAGACTTGTAGAGCTGGAGGAGCATCCTGTGGAAAAGCAGGGCTGAGCAGGAGGCCTTGGCCCAACACCCAAGATTCAGATCTGGCTCACGACTTCACATGGTGGTTCAGCCACGTTCCAAATTGTGCAGGTTTTGATCTTATTTGTGGATTCTTAGAATAACATCAGTTCTTCTGGAAAGAGCTAAATGCATTGTGGTGTTACTCATACGACTCCAGGGACTTAGGCAATTAAGTCTGGCTTCAGGTTTTGTTCAATTTGAGAGATTTTGGTTGATGCAAATCAAAGCTGAGAAGGAGTTGGATACCTTAAGGAAAATAAACATTCACTGAACTCTCCTGCGGAACTAATGATTGAGGGCATACAAGAAACTGTCTAGTTAGTGAGAAAACAAAAAACAGAATCCTAGTCATAAACGAACACATCAGCCCTTGTGTGTCCACCAAATGGGGGATCTGCATGAGCCTGAGGAAGATCTGAGTGAATTCAACAAACACATTTCTAGGGACATGCATCCATTTCAGCTGGTAGTAACCTGTGGCTTTGTGTTTTCCCCAACACATATTGAGATCTCTTTCTGTCTTTACTGATCAGCCCCTGCAAGAGGTTGCAAGGTTGCCTTTTTCTTAATTTGTTCAATTGTTTTTTGATTATTATTATTATTATTTTTTTTAATGGTCCTTGTTTGCATAGCAGAGTTTCATGTTTATAGAACCCCACCACTCAAACGTTTCTTTATAGCTGTGACATTTCCATGTCAGTTTTCCAATGAGGGAAAATTCATTGGCAATGGCATGCATGGAAGCTAGTTTTAAGCAAATAGTGAAGAGTATTCATGGGAAATGAATGTCAAATTAGTAATTATGAGTGAAAATAATGTTCCTGGCAGTTTCATCCATCCAAGCAGGGAATACAAATATACTCTTTAATTTACATGTATGACCTGAGGAGCTGACACTGAAAAAGAACTATAGTTATTACTCTAAAAATACTGACTACTGCTTATGAGCAACCTATAGCCTGAGATGCAGTCTGCATTCAATGATGGGATCTGTTCGTGGCTGGGAATAGTGAATGTGCTTATATAAAGTGAAATTAATTTGATAAATTGCTTTCCTATGAGATAAGTATCCAGCTCTAGTGACTAGCAGCCAGAGAAGTTGCAATCAAATCTCAGATCTCGTAGGTAGCTAACAACACATGAGCTAAATCTTGCCTGGTGTTTGTGGGACTGTTAGAGATCAAATTGATTGCTCTCATGTATTTCTAATGATGCCTGGGCACGATCAACCCCGATCATACTGTGCTTTGACAAGGAGGGCAACACCAGGAACTTTAAACAAGACATTGGGAGCCAACAGAACTTTAAGTCACTGCTGTCCAGACATGACCAAAGCCACGGTAGGCAGCAGAGGGGTTGGAGATGGGTCACCTGACTGACATAGACAAGCATTTCCACCGTGGCTGGGATAATGAAGCTGGAGTGTTGAAAATCAGACTAGGAACATGAAGGAAATTTAGCACAGATAGACCGTCAGCATAGGAAGTTCCTCATGAGTTCCTGATCTGGTGACATGCCATCAAAGCATAATGGCACATCACAACATTGATGTAGAGCATCTGTGCAGTAAAGCTGTTGCAGCATGGCTGGATGACATTTGGAGGTGGAATGAAGATGAGATGTCATGGATCAATTCTCTTGTCCTTCAGGGTAGAGGAAAATGTAGCTATTGTGCAATGAGACAATGTTCTGAGCTCAAAATGTGTGTCAGAGATAAAAAGGAAAAGCAAAACCAAATAATGTGATCAACTGTGCCTTGGACCACACTGTCCTCTGCTTTTGATGACAGAAACAGATGTCTGGGTCCAGGTTACACAGTGAGAAAATTTTCATGCCCTACCTTTCAAATGTGAAATGTTCATAGCACCTCAGAGCACACAGTCTGCTTGCAGTGCTCAGTCCCATCAAACCTTACCTGGTAAGAAGGACCTGTGACTACCAGGTGCAGAACCAGATTACACAAATTTGTTTTTGGGTATTTGATCTGCAAGCAATGCAGTCATCTCCTATACTTCTGGCTGGGATAAGAGACACCAGAGAGGGCACACCAGGGCTGCAGTGATATTAATGGTCTTTTGAGGTAGTCATGTCCAAGTCCTCCACCCAGCCAGAAAAAGATTTTACAAGGCAATGTAAGATTGGAGGGTAATTAATAGAGGAGGATTGCAGTGAGAGAGTATTTTCACCTGTTACATTAGGATCACTAAGCAGCATGGCTGGTAAATGTTGGTACAGTGTTAGAAAGGGATCCTCAGACTTTTAGATGTGGGTAATCATCATCTGACTGGTGATGAGAATGGAGCTTAACTCCCTTCTCCCATATAAGCGGAAGATAAGGAGTAATCCCTGAGATGGTCCATCCCAGATAGTACTGGGGTGGTCCTACTGACTCGTGGCAGATGCTTGTCACCTGCTGCAGTTAGGGACTCTGTGGAAGCTGGAGCTTCCAAAAAAAAAAAAAACAAAAAAACCAACAACAAACAAAAACACAGAGAAAGACAGAAAGAAAAGCCAGACAGCGGATATCCTAAAGGCTAAGAATGGCAAAGACCAGCAGGTAGAGCAGACTCCACCTACTTTTAGCCCCGAGATCCAGAAGACTTACGGGATCAGTTGCTTCAAGTCACATGAGAGAATGGACGAGGAGCTGATTAAGAAAAGTGCTTTTTAAAAGTTATTCAAATTTAGAGTTCTCAGCCAATGTGGCAGAAAGCAAAGGACGTCAGCAAATCTTATTAATATGCTGATGCTACGGCTTCAGAAGTGTACAGAATGCCCATTTGGATCAGGGCGAAGAGCACAGCATGGAGTTGCTATGGAGACGTGGGGAGGCCATTAATTAGCTCTCACATGAAATCATCAGGAAGAGTCTGGACCACAGCAGCTTTGCCGTCCTCAGAAGCTAAGGGCATGGCCCTACTGACCCCCAGGCTCCCCTCTGTAGCTCCAACAGCCATGTCCTGGAGCAAGCATGTCCTGCAAGCATCTGAGATAGGTGCACAAGAACTAAGGTGGAGGTGATGATAGGGATAAACAAAGGAGGGATGTTGTTCCCACTTTTATTTTTCTCTTCTCAGAAAGCCTGTTTGCTGTTGCAGACAAGAACATGTGCTGCTTTTGGGGACAATGGTACTCATGACTGTGACCTCAAAAAAGGCAGGGCTGGCCACGAGGCTCTGACAAGCTCAGTTAGAGGTGTCAGTGTCTGCCTGGGTGAGCTGCACCCAAGAATGCCAATGCTTTTCAGTGCTATCCTGCTCCTCTGAGCAATTTCTGGCCGTGCTAAGCCAGCATTTCCCTTCCCCTAAAGGAAACATAGGCAAAGAAGGGAGGTTTTTGGCCACATGCCCAGCCTCCCCGCAGAGCCAGATCCACCTCCAGCCCGGGCTGTGCATGCAAGTTCCCGTGACAGCTGTGACGGACTTCAGCTGCCGCGCACAGGATGT